GATCGGAAGGCATTGGTTGCTTGGCCGGAAGATCGCGTCGGATCTCAACTCAACAAGTTCCCCGCTAACGGGAGTGCCAAGCATACGCAAAGAAGGAGCTAGATCTCCGAATTGAGCCCCCATAAGACCTGGATCAACAACCAGGCAGCCAGATCGCGACTCAAGGACACGCCCGCGACAGCGATCAACTGTCCCGAGATAGAGTGAAGAAATCCCTCGCTACCTCAACCCCCTGCGTTCAAAACCTACCCAAAGACGTCGCACAAGTCATCCAGGAGAGCATAACCTGCCCACCGTTGGGTACACACGGTGAGAACAAGTACACAACCAGATCACGGATCATCGGAGGATCCCCTTCGTTAGTCGGTGTCTGGGGGCTAGTGGTATCGGGACCGCGTCAACAAGATTTGCATGGATCCCACTTCGCCACAATGGTGGCGTGCCCGGATCTTCTGGTGACTCGGGATTTCTCCGTGAGTCCCAAGAAGGTGTCAAGGTCAAAGAAGAACACAGGGGAGGAGTGCCTACAAATGTTGGATCGACGGAGGCATCGCTGAATACAGCAAGGTCCACAGATCACCAGAGTACTGAGAGGCTCTCTACTGACAGGCACGAGGCAGACCTGGATCAAGATCCAGGTCTCAAAGAAAAGCCTTGGATTCCTCCCATGACCGCCCCGGCGATCACCGCGTATCTTGATGACAAACTAGATCCGTACACAACCGATAAGGAAGCGACAAAACCGAAGACCAATCCATTCGCCAGGCTAGTGGTCGCGACAAGATCGTCCAAGAAGAAGAAGATCAAAGCCGCACAGACGAAGCTAAAAGCACCAGATTCGGAATCGGAAGATATGAACAGGTCGAGGTCGACTATTGCCAAGGACATGATCAAACAGGCTTACTATCAGAAGATACTGAGTGAGATACTGCTACAAGATACCGTCCTCGCGATCATACAGGTCCGCCAAATCGACGATCTGACAGGCCCGGTATCGGCACCACGTCCCAGTTCGGATCGGTTGAACGCAGTAAAGATCCTGCTAGTCCTGCTCCAGGAGGCCGGACCGGTGGCCGGGGAGTTCGGCCCCGATTCCCTAATCGAGATAGAACTGGGGACGGTCCAGTCGGCGACCCAGGATATCTTCGACTCGCTCAAGATCTTGGTCGGCGAACACGTACAAACTGCCGATCTGACTTAACAAACCGGGTCGTCACACTACGCGTCGGCTACCTCAGAACCAGATTCAGATTTCCCCCAAAGACCACAGCGTATGTCGCTGGGTTCCTCAGGCGCTAATTACCTGAGAACACGCGTGAAAAGGCAGGATCTACGGCCGGCAGGGCCGATTCAGACCCCTGAGGAACTCGATCGGCAGGAAGAGCGCCGGATCCCTGCAGGTCGAACCACTCCGACGACGAATTCCACCGGGTCTAGCAACAAACGAGACGAATACTTCCAGATGGCGATGAACCGGTTCTTGAAAGAACAGAGCCTTGTGACAACCCAACCACCGGCCCTCAGGATGCAGGATATCGACATGGAGTCAGTCGGTACCCCAGATCCCCACTCCTGGGAATACGATCCCGACGATCTCGGAATCCCGAGCTCCTCAAGTCATACTTCCGGCCGAGCTGCGGTCGCCAGTGCGGCGATCAGCACGGGGGGTCATCGCTGATCCAAAGATTTCGAATTTCGGCCATCTCAGATTTAAAGGAATTTACTGGGAAAGACATGGACGAAGATCGCGCCAGAGCTTGGATCGGCAAGGTAAAATCGGCGTTCCAACGGGGTCAAGCAACAGAAGAGGAGAAATGCCTCACATTCGCAGATCAGATGGTAGGGCCAGCCAAGAACTGGCATCGGCAGCTAAGCCGGACTACCAAAACCAAATGGACAGACTTACTCGAAAGTTTCCAGATACAATATTTCGATCTGGGTATGTCAGTGGCATGGCAGTACTACCATGCACGTAAAAGATCCGAAGAGACCCCGCTCGATTGTCTCTATCGCCTGAACGTGGCCGCTCTACGATCCAAACTCAAGATCAAGGACGGAAATCCAAACGCGCTGGAAACACGTCGATCATTACATCGAAACGTTGGGCGATCCCGAATTGGCAGACCGCCTAACACTATTACAATTGGCTGACGTCGACCAACTTGAGGAAGTTATCCGTGCGCGGAAACGAGCCAAGAGCAGGCAACGCAGATCCGCGTTCGGATCGAAATATCGATAGAAGGTCCCAGTCAGCGCTCCGGCTGCGCCAGCACATGCCATGGTACGCACGATCTAAGCGCAAGATCCGAGCTCGGGATCAGAAAGGGTCTTGGGATCGGACGGATCCGACTCGGAAGGTGAACTACGGATGACCATCCTCGCCGCGGCAGAAGAGAAGTTGATCGGCACAGGGAGCGCCTCACAACAACCAGATCCCGCACGAACCCGAGCGAAAGCGCCAGAAGGAAGCCGGATACCCGAACGTCGCTCCCCGGATGATAGGGATCATCCAGAACGAGACCGTTGTTTGCATTGCGGGTCCAGGAAGCACATGCATCTAGACTGTTGGAAACGTCTGACGTGCGAAAAGTGTGGGAAGAGAGGTCACCCAACGGGTCGTTGTCTATACGCGTGTCGTGGATGCGGGGGCGTCCTTGAGGCAGGAGAATGCCCCATGGAAGAATTCTACAACCAGATCCGCAAATGGTATGATCCGACTCGACACGCCGCGCTGTTCCCCGAACAAGTGGGGAAGATTTTAAACTAGGACACTCGCCGGATGGAGTCCGGTACGAGCCAAGCGTTCTAAGTACTGCATCTACGCATATGTGAACAAGGCGACGACAGATCGAGGTAGGAAGGAGTCGGATCCACGCTGTAATACATGTAATTTGCATTCGTACGCCGCCAAGATCGCGAGTCTCTCTTGGGTCGGCGAATTTAACCGATTTGACGCAGAAGTGGCCTTAGATATTCAAAAGAGAAAAATTCCGGGGTATTGGGAATGTCATGCACCGGGAAAATGGTTCCGACAAGCTAAGATCTCAGGCAGGATGAACCAAGAGAGAGCGATCCTGCTCCTAGACGCTAGCGCTGAGGTATCAGTCTTGGATACTACCTTTGCTCGTAAGGTGAGATGCCACTTTGACACTAGTCAGAGACAGGAATGCGTGGGAATTGGTGACAACGTATATGCCACAGAACCAGGATCAAGATCACGTTAGCGGGATATCTGGTGTATTTTTTCGACATCTGGGTTGGAGATCTATCAGGACAGAACGCGATCCTAGGCATGGATTTCATGGTCCGAGCTGGTGTGCGGATGGACCTCGCCGACGGATCGCTGCGCCTACCTGACGAGGTTGGAATACCGCTTAATGGTCGTAAGAGACTGTATGGTGAGAAGGTGAGATCAGTAACCCTCGAAAGAAGTCTACGAATCCCAGTGGGACGGTCGGAAGAGACAGCAGCAGGGGTTGAAATTGTCAGCCACAGAGAAACCGTGGATGGCCAGAGGAGAACGATGGGTACCGACAGTAACAGAAGGCCCCGGTCGGATCCGCTACCTGGTGATCTCGAATATCTGAGAAGCGACTGGACCATCGTCTGGACGTCGGAATGATACTGGATCAGGACAAAGTACCCGATCCCCAGGGTTCATGTCCGTCGGGTTCGCCGCTACAGGGAGTGGCAGAACCTGACCTTGGAATAGAGGTAGATACTCGATCAGAGCCTCCAGAATCGTCGGAGCCAGCCGTACAGCGACCAACGTATCCCACACCAAGATCGATACTTCGCCGGGTAGAAACCGCGGGTATAGACCGAGATCGCACGTTGATATCGGCCCTAGAGACTCGATCGCGGGTGGAGACAGCCTACGCAGCGCAGATCGATTTCCCAATCCAGAAAAGGGTCATCCGCCTACACCACCGACAAACCCCGACGCCGATCGATACCGGAGCGGCGATGCTGGGGGCGACGGGATAAGTGAGAGCATGCCGGACCAGGCTCCCGATCGGACTGGCACAAAGGACATCGAGTCGAAAAAGGAAAATCTGAATTGTCAAACCAGAACCAAGCCTGAATACGGCGACGGCTACGGCGTAAACACCCAGAGCCACCCTACGGAGGGCGTCGAGCTACACGACCCACCAGCGGAAGAAGCAGCATCGATCCCCCGACACGATACCGAGGACGATGATGAGATATACTACCACGAGAGTGGGGCGTCTTATATGATATTGATGTCGGAAACGCAAAACCGATCGCGTTGCGATCCCGGAAAGTACCCACACGATTTCGGGAAAAAATCGCAGGCCTGATCAAGGGGCTCCTACCAGCCGAGATCATCCGATCTTCGACGTCGCCATGGGCCTCACCAATAGTGATTGTTCGCAAGAGTAACGGCGTGGATATCAGGCTGTGCATCGACTACAAGCTGGCAAACAGCCTCACGAGGTTGATGGTCTATCCTATGCCTCTGATCAGCGATCTGCTAGAGAACATCGACAAGGCGTTGTGGTATTGCTCACTGGATATGGCCAGTGGTTTCTGGGTCGTGCCAATGACGGATCGGGCTCGCGAGATCTCAGCATTTATCACTCCATTCGGTCTATTCGAGTGGGATCACATGCCCTTTGGACTAAACAGCGCGTAGACAACGCACTGAACGGATTTCTAATTATCCCGCGATCGGGTGACCTAGGAAATATACAACGGACGTTTTCCAGACAGGAATTGCTGACGATCCTGATCGCCACTCGGTGTTGGGACAAAAATCATATATCGACGACATCATGATAGCCCCGGAATCGTGGGATCAAATGTGCCAAAGGGTGGAATACCTGCTTGAAGCATTTGATAAGTGGACGTTATTGATCAGTGTGATAAAGAACTTCTGGAGCATGAATAAGGTAGGATACCTGGGACACCGACTGTCCATCGAAGGTCTAGAGGCGAACCCGAAGGATCTGAATAATCTCTGACCGATCTGCCATTCCCCTGGGAAGTCTGAACTATTACAGCCGATTGATCGAGGACTACGCTATATACGCCTCGGTGCTATATGAGCTACGCGAGGTGGAATTTGCAGAACTGGAGAAACGATCGGATCTGAGGAAGATCGTGCACCAGAATGACCCGATTGTACGGGATAACGACCCGCCGGAACTCCAGCCCGCGGAACCAGTAGACGAGAGGTAGATCAGGGCTCATAAGACTTTCATCACCCTGAGACCAAGATCGCGACAACGCCAATCCTCCGCCACTTCGACGAGACGAAAACGCCGGTAGTGATTGTATATGCCAGTGAATGAGCGATTTCCGCTTCGTTGATGCATGAACACGACAGGATCTATCATCCTGTTGCGTTCGCCAGGCGCACGTTAAAGACGATCGAACTGAACTACAATGTGACGGAAAAGGAAGCGTTGGCATTGCTGAGGATCCTAGATATCTACTACAATTTTTGGTGGGACGCGAGATCCGGGTCCAGACGAGACATTCCACGCTAGCCTGGCTATTCAAGTCAGCGGGATTACAGGGCCGCCTAGGGCAATGGTCAGCTCTCTTGGCGCCGTGGACTCTCTAGATCAAAAGATGTACGAAAGGAGAAGACGAGATATTGGGGGCGATCGCTGCCAGCATCACGCCGAGGTCAAAGATCGACGACGCCTTAACCGCTATCGCGCCGCGAAAAGAACCTAAACGCCGGATCCAAACGCCGGTACCCACCGTGAGCCGAGAGGAGGAATTATGGGTCGTTTGCTTTGCCGGGGTGCATTCAGCGCGATCGTGTGGGGTCTGCCCGGATGGAGGGTGTTCAAAGCCAGATCGGGATATCTCGAGAATTTCACCGTGAATGAAGCAGAGTACAACGGCCTTCCGTTGGAACTCGACATGTTAGCGGGTCTTGATCGTAAGCGCCTAGTGATCTGCGGAGATTCCAACCTAGTGATCCGGCAAGTACGGGGCGAGATCAATTGCAAGGCACCCGGTCTGACGCTATTGAAGCGGAGGGCCTCGATCGCCTGAGGAAATGGAGTGATCATGAGCTAGTACATGTGAAGAGAGACTGGAATGGGAGTGCCGATAGTCTAGCGAGCGCCGTTCTGCAACGACAAGGCGGGATCAAGGTCCAGGGTGGTCCCGAATACCAAGATCTGGTTACCCTGAATCGGCTGGACGAGATCCTTATTCACAAGACCGAGATCCCGTGGTGCGAGCTGTAGCGGTCACCACATGTGCTGCTCGAGTGAGGTCCCCCGCGGGAGTCATGCAAGAGGATCTGATCCGATAAATGCGGGTCAATCGGATCAGGCAGGCCCAGGAGGATCACAGGAATGAAGAAGTATCTGAGTGGCTCGATGGCCGACCTCACACAAGCGGAAGCTAGATTGTACGGCAAGATCGCGGTCGACTACGAGGTGGACGAACGAGATCTACTTTTTACTGCCCTCTCACGCCGAGATCGGGGGACGATCGCGATCTGTTGCTGAGACTGGTAGTACCCGAAACGTTGCAATCGGACGTCTTGCACCACTATGATACCACGTTACAAGGCGGACATCAGGGAGTAGGTCATACCTACAGTACCAGCGAATCCGAGATCGCTCTCACTGGAGGGAATTATACCGGAGTGTTCAGAGATATGTGGGAGAATGCGTGGACTGCGAAACTGGTAAAGGTAGGCCCTTGATCCAAGGAGAATCACCAGGAAATCTGCAAACAACGTATCCGTTCCAGATCATTGCGATGGATCATATACCGTTACTGCCCAGATCAAACAAAGGGAACACCGAGCTGGTGATCTGGGCCGATCTATTCACGGGATACGTGACCGCGAAGGCTAGCTCGTCCCGATCGGCCCAGACGGTCGCGGAATCTACGAAGAGTGTGTATTTCGGCGGTTCGGTGCTAGCGAGATGATCAGACAGGATCGAGAACCCGGGTTCATGTCCGACTTCTTCCGATCGTTCAATAAAAGCTTGGGACAGCGGCAGCGAGTGATGATGACGTATCGACCTCAAGCCAACGGGACCGCAGAAAGAATGGTACAGACAGCGACCCGGTCACTCAAGATGTACGTTCGCGATCTAGAGCAGAAGGATTGGGATGAGTACGCTGAGCGTCTCACCTTCGCGATCAACACGGTCCACGATCGGATTAGAGGAGATACTCCTCATTATCTGGTACATGAGTGGGATTCGAGATCAACGTTGGAAGTCATAATCCCAGTCGGGTGCACCAGACGGCGCGATCGGGACCCGCGACGGTGGCGTTAACGGGTCCAACGGCATTATCAGCAGTCACGGGAACAAGTTAACGGCAGATTGCGAGAAATCATCGGACCTCACGGGGAGATCGTGGAAGACATAGTGAGCATGAAGATGGGTCACCGCGTAGGCGCAACGAAAAAAGCAAGCAAACGGAAATGCTGCTAAGATTGGTTAATTACGGAACAGATAGGACGAAATCGAGATCTCGGGATGGCGAGCGGTGATCGCGGGTGTCGCTCCCGGAAAACGACCGGATCGTCAAACTAAGGGGGTGTGGGAGCCGTAGGAAAGTTGAACTTGGTCGCGAGACGCGGAATTCGCAGCGACGGGTGATCGGCGGAAATGGTTACGCCAGAGGTCGGCCTGATCACATTCATCCAGGGCGGTGACCAGATCTGTCGGCTCGGGAAATTCGCGGTCGACTGGGCGAGATTGGCCGCTCGGGAGACGAATCCGAGATACCAGCGTACTCGATCCTGGGTAGTGGACAAATGGAGGAAGAAAGGATCCAGTAGGAGATTGATGTCGCCCCAAAGATTCTGCATCAGCGGGAGACACGCTGCCAGCAGCTTGTGCCAGCGATCGCCAACTCGGATGCGTCGCTGGTGACGATCGTGGTGGTATTGCAGGAGATCCAGGTCCGAGGTGCACATCGCCTTCGTGATCTCGATCTAATGGGTCGATTCCCAATACGCCTGCAAGTGATCCGCCTCCAGGCCAACGTAAGACACGGCGATCCTCCATAGAGGGGAGTCGGCGCGGCGGCGAGGTGACGATCAAAAGTCAGGAGAGCAGGACGATTCCGGAGTGCAAGCCACGGCTGGGTAGCCAGCAGAGACAAGATGTTCGCACCGGTGATCAGCTCGGACCGATAACCTGTCCGTGGTATGGGAGGTCGAACAGTTGGCTTTCGTGTAGGATAAGCAGAATCGGTAACCTCTTGGTCAAAGTGGCCGGGATTATAGCAGTGACCGGCACGGAGCCCACGAAGGCTGGATCCCACGGGAAGATCTCGGCAGCCATGAACACCCGGACCGCAGAATGGCTAGGAACACACGTTCCGAGAGGAAACAACGGCGGAATTAGCTAAAGGGGAGATCCAACACCGGAGGATCTGCCGCTGAACCAACCTCCCCCGGAGAACCTCCATCGGGAGATCCCCTCCGGGAGATCCATGAGGTGAGGGAGGAGGAGTCTCAGGTCCGTTCCCCGAGGGACGTGAGCTCGCCGCGAGGGGCGTAGAGGGAGGGGATATATCCTGCCGGCGAGGAGAGTCGCTATCGTTACGACAGTCGCCGTCGCCGCTCGGGATATTGGCCTTGTCCTCGAGCTCCTCCTGATCGTCGTTGTTCCCACCATTGGCCTCCTCGATCTCGGAGTTACCCTGGTCACAAGGTGGGGAAATGGGAGGATCGCCGCGGGAGGCTTGAGAGGAGGAGACTGGGTAGGAGAACTAGGCGGACTCCAATCGCGTTTGGGCATTCGAGCCGCTTGGCTCAGCCGGATTCTGCCAGCAAGATGTGTCAGGAGCTGATCAGCCTCAGACAGATCGCCTTCGGCCAGATCGCGCAGCTCGTTGAGCTGATCATAGGCCTGCTCGAGATCCCCCATCCGGCTTTCCCACCCTTGAAGCTCCAAGCAAACCATCGCGAGGTCATCATCTGTATGGAACAAGCATTAGAGGGAGATCACAAAAGGCCAGATAGGGAAGTATACTTACCCAGCTGGGCGACCCGGGCAGCTTCGGTGAGGAGGTCCATGCGAGCGACGGGTGATCGGCGGAAATGGTTACGCCAGAGGTCGGCCTGATCCGTGATCACCTGATCCCGGCTCTGTAGGGAGGTGTCGCGATCCGCGAGGGCTCTATCTCGACCTTCTCCGGCCTTAGCGAGTTGTGTGAAGGCTCAATCTCGATCAGAGGTCACTTGCGTCAGAGTCACGCGTACGCGCCCACCGCGTAATCCTGGCCCGCCTGAACTAATCGAGCGAAAGCTCCGAGAGGTGAGCTCCCTCCACGATCGGGTTGAAGTTGGGCGAGATCCGCGGAGATCTGGTTGAAGTTGGGCGTGATCCACGGAGATCCGGTTGAAGTTTTGGAGGTTCGCGGAGATCCGGTTGTAGCTGGCGAGGGCCGTGGCAGACTCGGATCACGTTCGCGCTCCGGGTCGCGAACTTGGTTCTGCAAATCCCGGATCTCGTCCCCGGTCTGGACCGCCTCCTGGCACAGGCGATCGTGTTCTTCCTCGGCAAGACGCAGATCCGCATGAGTGGAACTCGCGCGGCGCTCGAAGTCGTTCCGTTCCCGCGAAGCTGATGAACTTCGGTGCGGAGACCGTCGGGATCGTCTTCGGTGTCGCGTGCGAGGTGGGTGATCTCGGCCTCTAGACGGGAGATCTCGTCACGCTGCCCGTGTTGGAACGTCTCTATGCTCCGGATGTCTGCCCGTGGCTGGCGCACTTGCAGATCCAGATGATCCCGATCTCGGACGAGGTGATCTCGCGCAAGGTTGCCCTGGCAAAGCTCAGCCTCCAAGGCTGATAATCGCCGGCTAGGGTCGGAGGCGTGGGAGCGTGAGCGGCGCGAGACGTTGGAGTGATGTGACCGATGGCTCCCCGTTGACATGGGAGTCAGGCAGGGTCGGTACGGGGGTGATAGCGGAGTCGCTTCCTTGCTGACTCATGGTGGTCGGCTCTGCCGAAGACGTTGGAGTTGTGAGCGCGAGTCGGCAAAATGCAGAATGAGACCTGAAGTGAATCGTGACGGTCCAAGTTGCAGGCTGGGGGCGGATGTGGTGAAGTGCGAATAAGATCTCACGAGAAAGGCAACCTCGGCTAGAGATTTTAGACGGACCAGGCGACAGGAATCCCACCCAGGCCAGGACATCGTGTCACCTGCCGTGCAACAACGTCGGTGAGTGACGTTGACTCCGGACGACCCAAGATTGACCACGGGAGTGATGGATGGCGACGCCCCTCCCTCGTGCCCCGGTCCGTAACTTCAAGGATCAAGGTGTGATAACAGGCAGGGATTGCAGATGAATGGCGATCTAGGGCCATGGTAAGACAGCGGACAGGGATCGCAGTTGAACGGCGATCCAGGACCGTGGTAAGGCAGCAGACAGGGATTACCATACGTGACATCACAGGACCCGGTACGGCAGCGATCGAAGATCAGTGGTGAACGACGATCTGGGACCAAGGTAAGGTAGCGATCGAAGATCACAGGAGAATGGCGTTCCAGGACGAAGATATGGGAGCAGACAGGGATCGGAGGAGAGTGGTGACACAGGGCCAAGATATGATGTTGATCAAGGAAGCGGTCCACGATCACGATCGAGATCGAGGTTGAGGATCGAGATCGAGACAACCGTTTAAGATCGCCATCGAGGAAGCGGTTCAAGCTCGCGATTGAGAGGGCCGATCAGGATCGCGATCGGCAGATCTCAGGATCAGACAGATATCCGGATGTCAGGTGATCGTAAGATAGCAGCTGAGGATAGGATTAGTGGATATAAGGATAAATGTAAACAGACTCGAATTTGCTCTAAACCACACAAGTGCCTAAGACACACCGGGAATCGGGGATTAGATTGGCCTCACAGGCGCGCGGAAGGTAAGGACTCGTGATCTAGCGTAGCGGTTAAGCCTGGATAATATATTGGCCAGCTTTCCCCTACCTAGAGACTTGTCCTCAAGTGCGAACAACTGATCGGAAGGCATTGGTTGCTTGGCCTGATAATCGCGTCGGATCTCAACTCAACAAGTTCCCCGCTAAAGGAAGCGGCAAGCATACGCAAAGGAAGGAGCTAGACCTCCGACATTGGGCCCCGTAAGACCTGGATCAACAACCAGGCAGCCAGATCGCAACTCAAGGACACGCCCGCGACAGCGATCAACTGTCCCGAGATAGAGTGAAGAAATCCCTCGCTATCTCAGCCCCCTGTGTTCAACATC